CCAACGTATTCAAATCTACTACCTTTTTTCTTATACTTTGAATTGATGTTAATTAACTAATATAACGTCTTCTATTTAGGTCCTAATCATTTTTGGTTGAATAAAGATGATGGAAACAAAGAATTTTTAAAGAAGGGTGGTAGGTTTTAGTTGTTGCTAGAAGGTTCTTTGAGAATTCTGTAACACCCCAATTTAGGGGTTAAATTTAAGAAATTATAAAGTTGTAGATTTAATTGGTATTTTGAAAGAAACGGTGGATTAAATTGTAAAATTTTAAAGTAGGCAGCCTGTTTTAAAAAGTGCAAGAAGTTTAGTGACTAAATTAATGGTTTACCCATTTTTCTTTTGGGATGAATTATAACACCCAATTCCCGTATATTTCTGCAGAATTTTATCATTTCCTCTCCTCTGATCAACCAACTTCCAACTCCGATCTACTCGTCATCCGACCTCTGATCGACGAGCCGAAACCACCATCGTGTTCGTTGTCGACCGAGGAACAAAACCCCTCAAACCTTTCGTCGTAAATCGTCGTCGTTCGTCGTTAATTTCAGTCGGAACTGTCGTCGAAAATAACTCGTTTTCAGTTGGTTTTTCGTTGATTCAAGACGATCCGGTCATCCGTTTACGACACCTCCCGCACAATCATGTTCTTTGTGCCGTTTCGAGTCTGCCGGTGTCATTCTTGGTCTCTGTCGACGCCGGCGCGTGAGGAGGTAAAGCGGTCAAAGTTTCCGATTTGTTGAAATCGAGCTCTCCGCCGTTCAAAAATTTGAACCGAGCTTTGTAAGTACCTCGAAATCACTCAAAATAATTTTTAGAAATTTTTCGTGATTTATAGGCTGCCGGAAGACGTCCCACGCGCCCCCACGAGCCGCCATTGCGTTGGGAAAGGTCAAAATGATCGGTTTGACCGGTTTTGAACCGGTTTGACATGTTTCAACCCGACCCGACCCGTTTACCCGACCCGTTGACCAAAACTTTGACTGGCTTTGACCGGGCATTAAACGACCTTTGACTTTGACCAAGTATACCTATCCTGACATTTTTTGACGTTCCAAATCCGATTCCGCAGTCCGTTTTTCGAAATTCAGACCCGAAGGCCACGAAATTACCAGTCAAATCTGTTGACTTTGATTTTGACCGAAAATTCTAAATTTTTGAAAAGTCGTATTTTATGCTTTCGACATCCTGAATCCGAAGTTCGTTTCGCCAAATTCGAACCCGGTAAGCTGTTTTTCACTGATTTATCATCCGATTTGATCCGTTTATCTCAATTAAACTTCATTTTTTTATGTACTTTATGTTGATATGCATCTGAGGAATTATTGGAAGTTGATTTCAAGATCGAGGGCGTTCAAATGGAATTTATTGGTCGATCAGTATGGCACGAAAATCAAGGTAAAACATTACTACCTCTTTATGCTTTATAGAACATGTTGGTATTAGTAAATGCATGAATGGAAATGTTTGGTCTCATTTGTGTAAGTAATAAAGTTCTACATTCAATACGAATGCGGTAGGAAGTAGGTAATTGAATATGGTTCAGATGACTATTATAAGAAATTAGAGGACACTTAGAATTAAATTACAAGTTCTGGAATTAAGTGATAAAGGAATCAACCATGGATATGTAGATTATAATTTATCTCATTAAAGGTACTTAGATGATAAATTATGAGAATATTTCGATTGGGTAAAATTACGAAATTGCCCTTATGTTGGAAAATGACAATAATTGTCCGTGGAAGTGGATTAATAAATCTGAAAAGACATATTGATCTGATGAAATTATTGATGTGCATAGGAAATATTAGTTTTACTTGGAAATTCTGGATAACCGGTTTTTAACCCTAAGAGGGTTAATGAAAGATACTAGAAGTCTGTTAAGGAATCATTTCAAGATAAGAGCATGTTCGGGAAAGCAATTGACCATAGGATCTTTAAATTATAATTATTGTTGTTAAGAGCTAATATTGAAATTATCTGGTTAAGAAATTACGAAAATACCCTTGAGAGGTAAAATAGTTCGAGTTGGCCCTGAATGAGAAAGTACTTTGAGGATTGTACTTAACTCGATTAAGTACGAATTTAATTGTTAAGATCCTGTCTTTGTACAGAAAAATTCATAATATTTCGTTTGTAAAATCTGAGAAGGCACTTGACCCGAAAATATTCGAGTAATGAGTAAATACCTGAAGAATAATTTATCGAGGGTATTCTGCTGTCAGAATTGTTCGAAATGACTGAAATAAATGATAAGATTGAATTTAATAGTAAGATTGAATGGAAGAAAAGGATTAAACTGAATCTGTAAAATGACCAAAATACCCCTATAATGGAAATGACCCAAGGATACCACCAAGCTCAGTAATGATGGGATGTCTTCGAGCTCTGTAATGATTGGAATAAAACTGAACACCAAAATGACCAAAATACCCTTATGGCTTATACTAAGTAAATGTCTTGGATTAATTAAGGAATCCAAATAAGCATAGGTATTGGACTACCTTTAAAAGTAATGGAACACAATTTAAGTGAGTAGATCAACCCTAAAGCTATGTCCATACCTGAATGGCATAGATATTACTTGATTGCATGTTCGTCTTCTCAAGTTTGGCTCGATGATAAATTTTGGAAGTATTCAGCTCAACTCAGTTCAACTCTAAATCACATTCAGTACTAAGAATTAGACGTTTGTTCGACAAATCAACCACGAAGACCAAATTGAATTGAACGAAAGTGCAAAATGTATCTGAAATTCAGAAGTCTGAATTACTATAGAAAACCCTGAAGTCATTATAAAGGACTTGACTGCTAAATGAACTAAGTAACCTCAAAGACTAAGGATTAAGTAAGAGATTGGAATAAGCTTGAAAACTCATATGAACATATATGATGTATCATCCTTGTGGATTATGAACCACAAATCAAGTACGTCAGCATTTCATGGTATAGTTGAAACATGGAAATGAAATAAAGACCATTAGAATATTTGTTTGGCTCCTTAAGATCTATTCAATGATGACTCAGAAGATGATTTGTGGATAAGAATATTTGGTATTAAAGAGTAAGTACCCTGGAAGGTTAATGAATTGACAAGTTGATAAGTATTAGTTTGGGGAGCTATTCATCTGGAGTTGTTCGATAATCAGATTAATCGTCATAGATTGTAAAGATTCTGAATACCTTCAGATTTCGTAGAGCTTTAGAAAAGTGTTTGAATAAGATGATTCCGATAAATCATATCCTGAATAACTGATGATTCTGTCAGTTAATGAACTTTTCAAATAGTTATTCTAAATTTCGATATCCTATCGATATATTGAATATTCATATTTCTCTACCTGCTAAGATTATCCAATACCTCTGAATAACTTCTATAAACTCTGGTGTGTTCCCTAATCACCTGGATATTTTACCTGATTTCCTATTTGATTTCTATTATAATACTTGACCTGGATTTTGATCGGATACTTGACCTGGATTTTGATCGGATACTTGACCTGGATTCTGATCGAATACTTGACCTGGATTCTGATCTGATACTTGACCTGGATTATGTTTTGATTTTTAATATATTCGTTTACGGACGGAACATATTTTATTTGGGGGTAATGTTGGAGGAAGTATACCTGGAGGCTCCTCGGCTATTTGCTCAAGACCTTACTTACCGGCTTCTCGGCTGTGTGCTCAGGGCCATACTGGATTTGTCGGTGGGTGTATAGTTTTGGGGAACCAACACATTTTGGACTTGACGGATGGGGGTATATACATATATGTTTTAAAAAAATCTGAAAAGTTACATGATTTTTGGGAACATACTAGATAACCTATTCTGATTTCCTGAACTCAGTCATCCGAAATATTTCTCTGAACTAAAAGCTCATTGTCCGTTACCATCTGAAATATCAGTAGGATCTCTGCTCAGCATAAAAATCTGTAAATGTTCGGAAACAATAAGGAAATATATATTTATCTGTATCTGCACGTTCATGTAACATCATCTAGTAGTTTTGTATTACTGAGTTTTCCGAAACTCACTCTATTACTCAACATTGCAGGTTAAAAGAATTGTACCAGTGCAACTATCGTCATCAGTAAGGGTGTTCTTCTGGTGTTGTTTGCAGAGTACGGTACATGTGATTAGGGGACATGTAATTGTATTTTGTTTTATATACGAGTCTGAAAATCTGATTTATTTCGAATACTGATAAATGATTTTATAAGTTTACATGTTCTGCTAAAAAGTTTTAAATTTTTCGTTATTTTTACGGTGGGTCGCTCCGGTGGCCCTAATGTGACACTCCAGATCGGATCGGGTTACCCATATCGGTCTGAGGGGGTTACAAATTCAGAGAAAGTAGGACGTCATCCGGGTGTTATACTTGAAAAAGTGAAGTTGCTTCAGCAGAGGTAGAGAGATAGAGGATATTTGTTTCTCTTAGTTTCTTGAATACTATGTTTTTTTCGTTTGAGGAAAAAGGTTAATGTTTTACTGTTATAGTTTCGCTTCAATAGAAGTTATTGGTTTCTAGGACCGCATTTCAGTTTTCTCTGCCGATGATCAAAGTTAACTGATTCAATTGTTAATGGAAGAATAAATTACTTTTCCTATTTTGTTGACGAACAAAAACTTTTCTAATGTACAATTTTGAAATGGAGCTATATAGGCTTCATGGATGCAAAACCATACATACCCACGAATGAAATCTTTGCCATAAACTAGTGAGATTTGAATTTTACTTCAAAACATACTCTCACAATTAAGTTATGCCATCAAGTATGATTCCCTCAGCTTCTTAGAAGGAACCATGAGATGTTCTTCTGTATTCTGTTGCCATTTAACATAGACCAACCTTATCTTATAGAATACCATTTTCTGTCAAATCCTTTTATGTATTTATACCTTAGTATAAAAATGATTATTTTATTAAAAAGCAATTGAAATAGAGGGAAAAAGGGAAAGGTGTCAATGACAACTCAGAACAACTTTGGAACTACCTGAGCACGAGAAATAGAAAGTGAACATAAATTTCAATAGATAGAAAGGCAATTTCATACGGTACCTGTCCCAATCTCCCATCAGTTTGAGATGACGAGGGTTATCCTCAGAACCTCGGAATGGAACCAACACCTGAGATCCCATTTTAGCTAAAAATAAAAATAAACAAAAATCAGTATACACACTGCAAATAAATATTCAAGTGGGATTCAGAAGTAAAAACAAAACAAGCACTCAGAAACGCACATTTTAAGTCGAAACATGAAATATTTGAGCAGCAAATAATGTACAATAATAACTAAAACATTAAGATTATATTACCAAGCTGTTGCACAAGATAACGTCCAAGGAATCCAGTAGCACCAAAAACAATAGCTATAATGCCACTGCAAGAGAAGGCGAAATCATTTCCGGCACTCCAACATAGAACATTCAACGAAAAAAAGTTAAAATCCCGAGAATGACCTGACGGAGGATCGGCCACCGGTGCCCTTGCGAATGAGGTGGCCCGTGCCCTTGTGGGAGGCCAGCGTAGATCCGTAACGCGGATGATCACCTCCAATCCTCCATAATCTATAAAAAAAACCGATAATAAAATGATTTAAAAAACATAAAAAAAAACCCATCAATTCGATGGAAATGCTGAACAACAACCATTAAAATGGAAGAGGAAAAAAGATAAACCGTGAAATTAAAAAAGAGGGAATGGAAATGATACAGTGATAGGAAAGAGGATAAATGGACTTGATAGAAGAGATGGAAGCTGTTGGCCTCAGATATTGCTGCCTAAATGTCTCGTAATCGCTTGCATCTTTACTGGGTTAGCTTCTCAGGGAGAGAGAAGGTAAGTGGTTAGTGTTGTCAAGAGTTCAAGGATGGAGATTCAGATTTTGGGTCTAATTTAAGTTCCATGTTGAATTTAATTTGAGCTTCGACTTCATCGTTTCCGGAAGACTGGATATATTGGGCCATGTTTTAGGCCTTTACCCTCAAACATATTTTGGTTAATTAAATTTAATTCATTTTTTATAAAAAAAATAATCGAAATGATTGTTTAATCATTTATAAAAATATTTAATCGAATAGAATAATTTCGAATAATCCAGCTGATTTATTTATTAATTTTCTATCCAAAGAATTTCATTACATACAAACATCATTATGATGATAGTGTGCACTAAATTGGAACAAAAATTTGTCAAGCATATGTGTATTGTCGAGAAAAACATTCTATATATATTTAATATTTTCAATTATTAATTTCCATTAAGAAGTTGAATTTATTAATTAATCATTTTTAATCAAATTAATTGATGATAAAAATTTATAAAATCATTTAATAGTCTCTATCTGAATTAATTTATATAATCAATCAATTAATCTTATTAATTTTGTTCAGTTGGTTAAATTATTTTATTATTTTTTTAAAATTTTATTTGATTATTGTTTAGCTGGTGATTTAATCCAGTTAACCGAAAATCATTGATCTAATTTGGTCCGTCCTCGGTTTGATTTCAACGACATTAATTATAAAATTATTTGAGTTTGGTTCGAGACAAAGTCAAATTTGATTGAATTATTCTTAAATAGAAATCAAGTTATAAAACAAATCAAATTCAAATAGCTTGTGAACCTGATCAAATTTAATATTTATTTAGAAAAAAAACTTGTGTATGAACTGCACAAGCTCCCGTGCAAGTTGGAGTTCGAGTACATAAATGGTGTAAAACAGCGAATGTTCATGAAGAGAAGCCAATATGACAAATCCAAAGTGCGTGGGTTCTAATCTTTAAGACAGCCAATTTTCTGGCATCTCATTCCCAGTAATATTCCGTTTATGTTTTAGGGTGTGATATTGAGCTATATACAATGGACTGTGCAATCCACAATCGAGATTCGAACTCGAAATTTCCTAGATCAACCTCATAGAAGTTTCGATACTCCTTATATACAGAGCAACAAACCGAAAAGGAACGCTTACAACTTTGCAGTTTCTTCTAAAAACTTGCAAAATTGCCATAGGAGGCATGTTTGAATGCAGTCAATTGGACGTGTATGTGTGTGTATATACATACATGTATAACAGAAGCTGCAATTAAAGAGAAGAAGATGCAAAATTTATATTCTTCAGTCTACAACTCAACTTTTTCCCAGTAGAAAGGGTGGGTTCTAACTACTTCAACTCTACAAGATTGTCCCAACTACATCACAACTTATTCTCTAAGCTACTATTTTATTGCACATCTTGAACAAATATGAACCAACCATTGTTTTTTATTTTCTCCCATGTATTATTATCAGACTCTACCCATCGAGCTTATTTTCGGTTACAAGGTATGTCAGGTTGCTAACCCTGCATGAATGTTCCGAACCCACTTGAGGGGATGAATTTACTTGAAAATTACGTTGAAATTACTTGAGATTTTGGTTTAAATGGCTTGGTCTGCACATTTTCCCTTGCCATTTGTTGTTGTGTTAGCCGAGTGCTGCAATAAAGAAGCAGTGGCACGGGTTCACTCTTGGACGGTCCGATGCCCGACTGGAAGAAGAATTTTGGGCTTGCAATCTGTTTCAAAAATCCGGTATGCCACTTGATCTAGAGGAATACTCGGTTACAAACTTCAGAAACATTGATGATGTATCTTCCAAGAGACGTGCCGGAGTATCAAACTCTGCAACTCGAACTGCAAATAAGTTCCCGATTTATTCGGAAAACGTCGAGACTTTCAGTGAAAATAATACTGAAGCATCATGAACTTAAAAATGAAAATTTAAAGACATAGCTGTACATGCCATCACTAAACATCAAAACAAGATCACTGTCGGTTACAGTCGGAATACGATGTGCAATAGTGCAAACGGTGCAGTTCATGAACTCTGTTCTGATGATCTTCTGTATGAGGTTGTTGGTGGCAGTATCAACTGATGCTGTTGCTTCATCGAGCATGAGTATTCTTGCCTGTTTTTGCAAAACCCTGCCAAGGGAAACAAGTTTCCGTCCAAATGCAGGAATCTAAAAGTAAAGGCTTAAATACAGACACCTGCGAGTTTACAAATCATGGTCATAGTATAATCTGAATAAAAGGAAGTGGATTTCACAGAGCCAAAGGAAAACAACTTTAAGATATATAGTCAGGTGGAAATATATATAAAAAAGGTACTTACACGATTCAGGATTCGCCCAGCTGGAGTTGAATCGAAAAAAGACATCGGGGCTCGAAACACGCTTCTAAGCATATTGATAAACAATTTTTGCGCAGCAGCATATTGAAGGAACTGGAATAATGTTTGTGCAAGAACAATAAGTGGTAACAAAAGGCCTTTATATGCAGCAGTCATATATGACAAGTACACCTTCATGCTGACTCTTCCTTTTACCCTGTCCTCTTCTTGAACAAGCTGATTTTTCCTCCTCTTTGCTTTCCTTTTCTCTTTAATTGCTTTTGTGTCTGAAGCTGAGGCACCATCTTGCACTTCCTTTGCCAAATTGTCAATATTATTTCCAGCTAAATCACATTTTTTAGTTGATATAATTTTCCCATCAAGCTGTAAATTTTCATCCGAGTCTTCTGATGAGTGAGTTGGAATATGGCTTCAATTTCTTCATGGTGAGCTGAGACCAGAGTTTCGAAATCAGTGCCTGCTTGTAGAAGTTCATCATATTTTCCTGCCTGTATGATTCGACCTTCCTTAAGAACCTGCACATATGATTGATGCTATTGGAGAATAGATATTCAACAAAATGTATGAAAAACCAATCTCATCATATCACCCACCTATACCAAAAATATGTATATTATATATATTACAACTCTTAAACTGGAACCCGGAAAATATGACACTGAGCACTTGTACTGCACAATTAATCCAAGAAAATTCATTTTTAGACCCTGCTACCATCTTTCACGTTCAGATGCCAAAAGTAAAACGGATAAGTCACTATTTATCTGGTCCATAGTCATGCAGTAAGAGGCACCTTGACTAATATTCCATGTCAGTATTGAATTTGTTATAGTATTGAGGGCAGTGTATTGTTATCTCCTATGGTGTTTCTTGTTGCATGTCAGTCTGTAATTCACTAATTAGATCATTTTAATCCATCCCACCTACTTTAGATTAGTCGATCACATTCAAAAACCACCAATCCTGGACAAGATATTGGATAAAGAGAGGGAATATTGCATTGGGATGGAGGGGGACCATAGCCTTGAACAAGGATTAGTTTGGAAAAATAATATATCTTTTTCCTCGAAATAAAAGAAAAGGCAATGCAGGTTCAAAGCCATGGATTCAACCACCTCATTAGAAAGAGTGTACTTGAAGCATGCATCATTGCATGTAGTACTGCTAGCAGAATATATATATGTATATTTATATACCAGTATCAAATCTGCAGTAGGTAGAAATTCAACTTGATGAGTCACAAAAATAACAGTCTTACTTGCCAGTGCTGTCATTATGTATTCCTGCAGTTTCAAAAAATGAATTGCTCAACCAAATTCTATTGATATGAACATCAATACCTGCAGTATATTTGACCGAGTTAAACCTTGAACAGTTCCGAGCTAGTGTCTGCATCAACGGCAATGAAAGGGTCATCAAGTAAATAAATATCTGCATCTTGATAAAGAGCCCTGCAAGCTGCACACGTTGTTTCTGTCCACGTCTCAGATTTATACCCCTCTCCAATTATGGTCTGATCTCCATGTTGAAGACACTAATTTTTTGTTCCTCAATATTATGTTATATAATATATATTTATATTATAAATTTTATATAATATATATTCATCCATATAACATATATATATTATTTACATTTTTTTACAGGGCCCAAATCAATTCAACACGTGGCCCAGTGAAGGCACCCCAACCCTAGCTCGTCTCACTCTCGCTTCAGCAACCATCATCAGCGCCGCATGGAGTCTCGGCCGAGAGTCCTACGCCTCACGACTTCCTCTTCGAGTTTCACAGCCACACGCCGCCCTCTCCGAGCCGTTCGGTGCAAGGTTATCACGAAGCCATCAACACCAAGCAGCCAAGTTAGATTAGAACTCAAATGTTTAGCAAATATTAGGATATAAATACGTGTAAATCAAACCTATTGTAACACATTAGGATTTTGATAGGAAATAAAAGCAGAAGCTTTTGAGCAAAACCACAAGTATCATCAAGGCAAAATCGAAACATTTTTTGAGTTTTTGAGAAGAATCAAAAGGTTTAGATGTGGATCACTGCCGATGAGCGGCGGCGAGGCGGTGGTCACCGGCCGGAATCTGGAAACCAGGCAATGGTGTGTTCATCTTGGATGAATAAATCAGAGAAAACAAAGGCAAAAGGGGGAGGGCTCTCGTTTTGGTGAGAAGAGAAGAATGAAAGTTTTCATTTGTTTTCATTTTTTTTAACATATATACTAGACCCGCGGATGCTTTCAGACCCGACCCATACATAAAAATGACTCGCGTGTTCTTTAAAACGGTTAAACTGTGCATTTGATGCCTCTATTTTTATAAAGTTCTAATTTGCCCCTTAGGTTCCAAGTGTAATTCGAATTCCTATTAAATTTGGCCTTAAATTTCATTCTATTTTCAATTTAGACACCATATATATACATAATTATTACGTTTAAATCCTTATATTATTATTGTATATTATTTGTATTATTTATGCTGATATGCGTGTATTCTTTTATTTTATTGGTACAACATTATTAATATACATAATTACTAATTATGCTTATGATCATTTCTTATTTCTAGTATAATATCCTATAATCGTATATGTATATATTTCAATTCAATTTGATACTTATACTATTATTTTTATTTATTTCATATTACTTAATTTGTTATACATATACGTATCTTTTATATATTTTACCTATATACCCATTATTAATAAATATATATTATTATTTTTAAATTATTCCTATGTTATTTTCTAATATATATATATAGTATTTTATTTGTTTTGTACACATATTTTTATTTTATTATTATTGTTATATATATATTTGTTATTATTTTCTTTTATTTGATTATTTTTCCTATATGATATTACCTATATATGTACATATATATATATATACTTTTATTATATTTTAATTAAATATTATTTTATATATACCTAATTTGGACTATATGTCCTAGAAGGGACCGCTTTTGTCTTTAATCAAATTTTCCCCCAACTTTCGGTAGAGTAATTGTGGGGTAGGTTTTTTTTTTAAATATTTATTATTTATTATATATATATATATGTTTTATTTGTTTGGTTTTGATGTATATATATATTACTTATTATTATATATATATTTTTCTTTTCAAATTGTACTATATGTACATATTATTTTTTTCCTTATCTTATTTATTTAGTTATCTATTTATTTTTTTTCTTTTTTTTTTCTTTATCTTTGATTTATTTACTCATATTTGTTTATTTATTTATCCATTTATTTATGTATATTGTCTTTGCTTTTTTATCTCGTTTTATTCTTTTTCCCCTTTATTTTATTTTCTTTATGTTATTTGTTTTCTTTAATCTAACACGTTCACTTTTAAAGGGTACAACTTTCAAATCAATCTACGGTAAGTAATTAGGATCAAAGTTTTACCTTGTAATTTAAACTTATATTTTTCTTAATTAAAGACAACTGGAAATTACATAATACCGAAATGGTGGTTCAAGGGTGCTAATTCTTCCTTGACCGTAACCAACTCTCGGATCCGACACATCTTTGGTACGACACAGATCATGTAAGAAATAAGGTATCCAATCAACCCATTTTTCATAAAATAAATGATCGGTGGTGACTCCAACCCATTTTCCTAAGTCGAAACCCGGTTCCGGGGTCCAACCGAAAGACGGTTACGACAGCTTGGCGACTCCGCTGTGGATTCTCAAGTGAGTCAGGCTAAGGTAATTTTCAGTTGTCTTTTTAACGAAAAGGGTAAGTTTAAATTTTAAGGTAATATTTCGATCCTTTTTAATTACTTTTGATTATATTTTCGAGTAAATAGTTGTACTAATCGTT